TGGTTTGTGCCTAAATTTTATTTTTATCATTGGCGCCATTTTTCAACCAATGATAAAAATAAAATTTAGGCACAAACCACGTAGATTATGTCGACGCCAGAAAAGAAGTCAAAATAGAATTAAAAGGAATCCGCTGTCCGATTCACCGAAAAATGTTGTACCTAGCGCCAAATTTTTATCTAATTTGGTGCAGCGGGGCAAAAGTACCTAATTTTCTAATGCATCGCGGTGCGCGTTAATTATATAGTGGAGGAGGATCGAGCCGCTCGTCGTTTAGAATCTAAAAGATGGAATTTTATCGAATGTGTAGATATGTTGGAAACAAACTGAGTGACTAATTACAACTCATAAGATTGAAAATTTTCTCGTGTGACCATAGACGACGGAACGATTCTAATCTAGGAGAGGCTTAAAAACGTTTTTCAGACAATGATTGAGGAAAATCAGATATCTAAGCTACCGCAAGCCTTCCTCTTCCTTTTTTAGCGGAGGCTTCAGCCTCCTCAAGTCAAAGGGCTTCGCCGCCTAGGCTTGTAGCATGGATCTACTTGTTTAGCTTTGCAAGAAAATCCAGTTGTAGTCAATCTATTTTTCATGAATACAAAAAGACATACAAAGACGAAGATAAAAATAGAAGTTCTATGTTCTACACGTAATAGATCAGTTCATAATGTTATATACAATGTTTTAGTTCATTTATTCTGCAAGTTTGTTATTGCTGTTCACTGGATGCTGTTGTGCTAATGGAAGGTAATAATTCGTTACATACTGTAGGAATACTGAGTTTTCGTCCAAATGATATAAAATGACCGAATAAGGATATGCCAGCTGTACTGCTATTGTTATTGTCAGCTGGCACACTTGATGATAGTGGACTAGAGTCACCAGTGCTGTTTGATTGTGAATATCGCCGTTCCGTACGAATTTTTTGATCAATAGCACGAATACCGTTAAAACAATATGGAATAGATGCCATTTGCTTCGTGTAAGAAATGAGTGAATGAATAGCAATGTAAAACGACGGCAGAAGTGAATTGGAATATATGAACTCTGCATCAGCCATGCAGTGACTACGTGAAAGAGGAGTAGAATGAAAAAGGAAAAAGAAAATGTAGATTGAATCGAAAAGGTCCTCGACGTAAGGTGAATAAAGTCATACTAATAGCTTTTCTCTTTTCCTTTTATATTTTCTCTTCATATTCTTCCACTATCGACAAAAAACGGTCAAAAGTGTCACGCCGGTTTCGAACTTGACAAGCTATCACATCTTGTAGAGGAAACAATTTTCTACAAACTGGTATACTTGTTCAATTTTTGCCGGCTCGTCTTCACTCTTTTAGACACGCTTTTTAGATAGCCTCAGCATCGATTTTTGGGGCTGTTTGTACAACAGCTGTATTTTCATAACGAATCAACGTTCAGAGCCGAGACACTTTTCATTTTGCAGAGAAATGTTTAATCTACTGAATTATCTAGTTGTCATTTACGATCAGTTTGTAGCTTTATTTCACTAACTTTTCGAAAAAGAGCAAAAAATGAAAGCCGTTAGCTGGACAAGCCGGCCAGATCATTTGAAAATTCACTAGAGTGAGTTGTGATTTCCTGCTAAGGCTGATGCTAGTTAACACGCTCGTCTGCAACCAAGTGTCAGTGTTGGTATTTTCCCCGTTTTAATTTTGTTCTGTAAAAACAAAATTTCTTCCAGCCATTCTGGTAGCAGCTGAGTGCATATCACATGATAGTGGAAGAATA